GATGAGGGTGTGACCAGCCCTCAGAAGTGCTTCAACTACGCGGCTCTGAGCTCACCAGTTTACTCATGCGGTGCTGTAGCGAGGGCTGTCCCCATTCCCGAGACGTCGGGCCTACACCGCACCTTATAACCCGGAGGCACTTTCCCGCTCTCTCTCTCTCTCTCTCTCACGAGTCCTGAGGCGGCTGGTAAGTGGAACTGATTGTCCACCGGACTGCGCGCGCGTACGCGGAAAATTGTAAGGGCGAGCGCCCGAAGGCGACCGCCGCCTGTGCGTTCGGCTTAATTTATCCGATATTTCTATCAATGTTTGCGCTCTATTTTGTTTTGTAACCTGTATGAATAAAGTTGCCACATCTAAAAGGCTTTTGTCCACTCGTGACTGGGGTTTCTATGCCGACTAGGAGCGATCTACTCCCTAGTTCGTGGGATACGTCTGCGTCTTTTCTCTGTAACTTGAACTTCCATACAATATACACTTCCCTGATCCCGCCTAGTACTCACTCTCTCTCTCTCTCTCTTCTGCATCTACTACTAAATTCAAACATGGTGCCCCGTGTGAAGAGTATATGATGTAAAGAGGTTTAAGCACTAGTTTGTCGTGATGTTATAGCATAAAATTGCGATAAAGGTCTACCTCGCTAAGGGTTCGCGAATTGTGCTAGCTACGTACGCGTTATAAAAAAAAAAAAAAAACAATAGCGCCAAACAACATTTTATTAATATTATTTTGTTGCACTTCTGCGAGTAACATTTTCCAGGTGATATGTTATCCAAGGGACAGCTAGCTTGTGCTAGTTATTAAATTATTTGCCCCGGAATTACACATTACCTCAATCAACATTTGTCACCTAACCTGATCCATCTTCAATCTCAACGGACATGAAACTGTAGTAGCTATTGGTATCAACTGGCATCATTTGGCATTATTTCGATTTTGCCTGCACACCGGTTTTCTGCAAAATCGCTAATTTTTATTTTTATTTAATCTTAATTAAGCTAAATCACACCTCATAATTCGATTGCGTCTTTGTTAAACCAGTTGTCTCAAATTCTTATACCTGTTTTGTTACTTCTTTTGACTTTTATTTGTTAAATTTGTTTCCGTTGTTTCTGTTCATCATCAGTCAATTTATTATTAAGTTGTTAATTTTAAGTTTACATATTTCTGAGCCATTGAGGTTAGGTTCTCTAATTACATAATAATCCCGCGAATTTTCCAGAATTTCCCGCGAATCGCCAAATATCTTGCGCTTCATTTAGCCGCAGGTAGGAGTCGCAAATCTCGTGTCACTCTTTTTCGCGCCAAATTTTCAAACTGCCGTACACATACTATCTTGACCATCCGACTACGTCAATTCGCTTTTTCCTCTCCAGTTATTTACATGTTGAGTTTAACGTAGTTCAGCTCTCTCTCAATGTGAAACTTCTGTGATTCTTTACAACTTGTTAATGTCAATTAGAGACTGTGCTAAGTGTCACCTTCCCCTACGACGACTTCACAGATCTCTTCTTTGCGGCTCTTGCAATTCCCTTTACCACCTCAATTGTATTTCTCCAAATTCCAGACCAGTATCTATAACGGCTGAATTTATATGTTGTGCCGATTCTCCATCTTCCATCCAATCGCTAATACCGCCGCGTTATTTGCCACGCCCACCGGACACTCTTCGTCTGTATTCCTACAGGCCAAGAAGCGCCTAGCCTCGCCTACTCAGCCACCATTGTTACCAGTATCCAAGCAACCCTGTACTGCACCGTATCATTCGTCGCCTGAATCATTCGCTCCTGCTACCAACGTTCTCACCGTGAATCAAGATCATCACCAGTCGTCGTTCAATTTCCCACACACACGAAGATCACTCATATACCATGGCGGATGCACCTGAGTAGTTCAAGCGAGAGGCCTAACTAAATGCCAGCAGGCATTAAGAGATGCGTGAATTATGGTCCCAATTGCATGCGGAGCACCAGGGTAGAGATGCTCTTTTCGCTATTACGGATGAGCCCGAACTTCTCATTGCTTGTTGGGCTTGGTTTCGGCGGGACACACAATCTTCCGCATATTGTCACACGCATACCCTTTCCCCATCTCTCTCCAAAACGCACTCTCGCCCTCTGATCGCCGGCGACCTCCTGGCACCGCTCATCGGTCCATTCGTTCTTTCACATTTCTTGTTGACTCTGTCGCTCGATCCGTGATAGGATCCTTCTCTTTTCCTCGAAATTGAAGGAGTACACTGCCCGATCAATTTTTGGTACTGGTGGACCTGCGAGGGTCTATGTTCGTCCCATATGACCGAAGCTAATTTTCGATCTTCTTACAAAAGTGAGAAAGGTCAGTGCTGAGTTTGGTTATGCCTGGCCGGTGGTTCGTAACCTGAAGGTGTTTTATAAGCAGACTCAGCGCTCAGAGCTGATCCCTATTTTTACTGAGGCTGACATCCGGGGGCTCGTGCCTCTTCAACGCGTGACTCCAGCTGCTGTGAAACCACCCACTCAGTCAACTCAAAACCACAGACGGCAGTCGCCTCCACCTTCTCTCCCCCTTCAAATCAGCTATAATCCAGTCTGACATTCGCACATATGCAACAATTTAGCTGAGCAAAATTCATGCTTCACTGTTGCGCACGTCAATATAAATGGATTAAATATACTCTTAAATTTCTCTCTTCTCAAAACTGTACTCCAAGCTGTCCCTTATGATCTAATAGCGATCTCCGAAATTAAGCTCAATGAATTTGTACCAGATGCGGACCTTTCCCTCTCGAATTATAATTTTGTACCGCTTGATCGTGTGGGCAGGGAGGGTGGAGGGGTGGGATTCTATGCGCCGAACTCCCGGATCATCAAAATACTAACTGAGTCCAATACTGTTCATGATAATACTCTAGAATTCATAATAGCTGATATTCAACTGAATCACCATAATAAACTACTTTTCGCTGTTGTTTATCGTCGTCTCTCAGCTTCCACCCCCTCCTTTGTTTTTGACTCCATCTCTACTTTCCTTCCTTATTATAATGATGTCCTCATCACAGGTAATTTAAATTACGATCTCACTTCTGATCTTCCACATGTTCGTGCTTTTCGTGATCAGCTGGACTCTCTTGTTTTAAAGATTGTTTCCACTGAACCTACCATCATCCTATCTCAACTATCGGAGAAATCACACATATTATCCTTGACTTATTTATTACCAACCACTCAACTAATATCACACAGTTTTCTCAGTCTCATTCACCTTTTGTTCCATATCATGACTTAATTGCTATCTCAATCTCATCTTCATATATCAAAAATACCAGGAAAACCTTTTCCTCCCGTCCTCTCCACCACATTAATCCTAATCCCTTAACTCGTTAATCACTATCGATCTTTCAGTTTTCTTCTCCGGACCTTTTCCGGGCTGCTCACCTTCACTTGCTCAGCTTGATTCTGTTTTCACTCTCACAGTACTTGCCGCTTTTGATCAGCTTACTTCAGTTCGCAAGATTGCTATCCCATATAAGAAAACGCCCTGGGTTTCTGAAAAGCTTCGAGTCAAGATGCATACACGTGACCACCTTTTCTCCTGCTACAAAAAAACAGATTCTGTTGAAGTACTGTCCCATTACCGATCACTTCGCAATCAAATTTCAAATTCCCTAAATAATGCAAAGAATTCTTCCATTCATGATACCATTCATAATGCAAAGTCTATCACTCACAAATGGAGAGCCCTCCGTGAAATGGGTGTAGCTTCCAACCTTCTACCTTCTCCACTACTCTTCTTCTACCCCGACGTCCTGAATGATCACTACGTTTTAGTGGCCAATCGTCACTTGGCTCTAACTAATCAAGCTTTCCATGACATAATTAATGCTCCGATTTTTGAACCGATTCCTTCTCAATTTCCACAACCTTTCACCTTCTCTACTGTCTCTTATTACGAAGTTGAGTCCGAGGCCCTTCGCTCCAAAGGCAAGGGTAGCGTTGGCCTCTCCGCTCAAATACTTAACTTGGCCTTAGCTCCTTAGCTCCCCTACTTACTCTCATTATAAACCAATCCATCCTCACCTCAGCTTATCCTTCAGCCCGGAAATGCACTATTATCTACCCTCTTTCAAAAATTAAAGCTCCCCAGTCTCCCTCTGACACCCAACCAATAACCCGAGTTTGCGAGTCCTCCAAGGTCCTGGAGCGCTTACTTCATAAGCAGCTCTCGGACTATCTGGAGACTAACAATTTCTTTGATTAAAGGCAGGCTGATTTCCGCAGGGGGCATTCTACCGAGACTGCCCTGATTGGTCTGTTGGAGGATATTAGGCGCGCTGTTGAGATGCGTCAGCTCACGATTCTTGTGTTGTTCGACTTCATCTTGATTCTCTTTCTCAAATCTCCATCAACAACATAATCATTCCATTTTCCTTATCCGTCTAATCTGATGATCGCACATTTTGTTATGTTATCATGATTGTATTGTTATGTAATTGCGTTTCCATTATCCCTCCTTTTATATTTGTTCAGTTTACTTTATTCAGCTCTATTCTGGATATTTAATTGTATTGAACTCTCTATTATATTTCTCTTATTGCGTTATGTATCTTGTTTTATTGCCAATGTATTGCGCATGTTACTTCTTATCCCATTGCTGTTACCTAGTTTTATTTATATTACTGTTTTAACCAGAGATCGAAGTTTATTTCAAATTATTTATTTATTTTATACTTATTATATGCACACGAAAATTCTTAATTGTTTAACTGTTAATGTGCATTTGTTAATCATATTATTGTTATTTTATTACTATAATAGCGATCTTATTGTTCTTGAAGCCTACGAGATTATACCTCATGGCTAAATAACAATTGTTTAATCTAATCTAATCTCTCTCTCTCTCTCTCTCTTTCTCTCTCTCAATGAAAAATTATTTATTTATTTTATTTTCAATTAATACAAAAATAAGATAATTTACATATTATTTCTATAATATTTATTATTATTTTTTAATCTTCTTAGCTCCAACAAAATTTGCGGGTCAAGTCAGCGTCCTGATTATTAAATGGCTTGGTATGACTATTATTTTTCGTTGAACCGTTTCAATACTCTCAATTAGGGGTTTCTTGGGAATTATTTCATTTCTCTGTAAAGAAAAAAAGAAGAATATTAATATTAATTTACATTAGCGCACGATTAACATTTATATATTTTAAGTATTTACCATAATAGACAAATAAAGCGGCACATCGTCTTAAATGCGTACCGCTAGTGACATCACCAGTACCATTATTTGAGGAGAGATCGCTGATGACAAGGTGACGACGACGACGAAAACGAAGACGATGATGGCGATGATGAGTTCACTATCGAAACCGGCACATCCTTCGCTGAGACTTCTCTTTTTTGTCACTTCTCTTCTGCTAATCTCTGCTAATCTTCTTTGCTTGATCTTCTTCGCTGATTCATCTTGCCCAACCATGGAAAGTTTCTTCTTTCTTTTTCGTTCCAATCGAACAGACTATTGATTTTTACGCATTGCCTCTGCGCGGTTTGTTGATTGAAACGAATTCTTACACGCTCATTTACGGTCTTTTCAAATTCGTAGGCCACTTGTTGTATCAACAATCTTACCGCCCTTGACTTTTTTATCCACTGAAAACAAAATAAGAAATCAATTAAAATACAAAATCAATTAAAAATAAATTAATTATATGAAAATAATACTTACAAGATATACTATAGCTATGATCTGTGCAGGCTGTTCAGCTTGATGAATATTATTTCCAGCCAAGATAATTAACTGAAAATTATATATATATATATATATATACAGGGTGATTCAAAAACATATGTAACTAATAATTCCATTCGATTCGTCTCGAAAAATTAATTCAGAATTGTGTTCTTAGTTTTTCGATTAAATAATTAGGTAATTAGATAATTAGCTTGAAAGATCGGCCAATCAGCGCACAGCTTTAGAAGAACGGGCGCTTGGTGGCGAGCGCGGAGCAGTGAGGGGGGGCCAGCGGCGGGCGCCGCCGCTGATTGCAAGCGGTGTTCAACCCAATCGTGCAACACGGAGCTCCCATGTCTACATACTGATATACGTATTCATTGATTGAACGCGTATCAATAAAAAGAACGGTTCAATACCGATTGACTAATAACAATGATGTACGTGAAAGCTTTTGTGTTTATTTTGCGAAATAGGTTATTTAGTATTCGTAGTCGTCGAATTCAAACTCGCTGTCTTACTTAAGAATTATGTTCATTTAATGCTGAAAATCGCTGTGATCGGCTACTACATCATTGCTTTTTTTTGCTTTTGAGAAAATTGAGATCAATAGGTAGAGGCGTACAGTGTGTTTCCAATTAGCTTGGTTATACGTTTTTTTAAGATTAAGAAATAAAATAATAATAAATAAATACTGACAACCCTCGGCTGAAAATTTCCATGAGGGAAATTCACTCCTGATGTGTCATCACACTTGGAACAAAGTCTCAATTCGCGTGTGCGAGACGATTTACACTAGTCACACACAGGAAATCCATTCTAAAATTTCTCACGCGTGCGAATCGTATCACATCTGAATTTGAGACTATGGGTGAGACTCTAATAGAGCCTATAATAGAAGGAGCTTTAAATCACCGAGAAAAAACGCATTTTGGCAAGTAGGCGGCTTGTAAACAAAAATACTGTCGCTACGATGGCTTGCAGCAACGCGGCGCCTCGAATCAGGTAAGTAAAATTTGAATTTCAGTAATGATCATTAGTCATGAAATTATTTCCAGCACATAATAATTATAAAGAAAATATCGCAATGCTGAAGACTAGATCTACAATACGTTGCGCATTTCTGAAATATTATTATCAATCTGACGAGCAAGATACAATTATCAAAATAATTAGGATTATTGTAGAACGCATTAGAACTTTAAGTCGTAGTCTGGGAAGCGCAACGCTTTTCATAAAGTGCGTAAATGTGTGTACATCAATTTTTCCAAGTTGAATTAAGAATTATAAATAATAAAAAACTGAAAATTATAAAAGTCGTCGCCACTTTTCGGTGAAAAGAAATTCCAAAAACAAATTTCCATAATTTTTTTAAAAATCAATCTCTCGTTGCCCTGTTCCATATGGTAACTTCATCGTTTAAAAAACCGACATACGAAAGAAGATCCGTAATGATTCAAAGGTGTCAGGCTGCTCGGAGAGAGTAGTGGATGTGGCAAAGGTGCGGATTTTGAGAAGAATAAACGAAACGGGGGATGAGGCTGGGTGGCATCAGGACAGACGAACGCAGTGCGACCTAAGAAATTAGACGGACGGTGGGAGGGATTCGTCGAAATAAGACGGACGAGCGGAGGGCAAGGTGTAATAAGACGGACGAGCGGAGGACTGTGTGAAATAAGACGGACGCACGCAGGGCTGCGTCTAAAAGGGCAGACGAGCAGACGGCTGCGTCGAAATTAGACGGACGGTGGGAGGGATTCGTCGAAATACGACGGTCGGGCAGAGGGCAGCGTCATGAAAGGCAGCCGAGCAGAGGGCTACGTCATAAAGGGTAGACGAGCTGGGGGCTGGGCGGAATAGGGCGGACGAGCGGAAGTCAAGGCGAAATGACCCGGACGAGCTGGGGGCTACGTCGAAATGTGACGGACGAGCTGGGGGCGGCTCGTAATAGAATGGACGAGCAGAGGGCTATGTAGGAAAGGGCAAACGAGCTGTGGGCTTGATGAAATAGGGCAGACGAGCGGAGGGCACAGTAAAAGGAGACGGACGGGTTGGGGGGCCGTGTGAAACAAGTCGAACGCGCGATGGGCTGCTTCTAAAAGGACTTGCGAGCCGTGGGCTACGTCGAAATTAGACGGACGGCGAGGGGGAGACGTCGAAATAAGACGGACGGGCAGAGGGCTGAGTGAAATAGGGCACACGAGCGGAGGGCTGTGTGAAATAGGACGGACGAGCAGATATCTGCATCCTCAAGGGCAGACGAGCAGAGCGCTATGTCAAAAAGGGCAGGCGAGCAGAGACCTAGGTCACAATATGACGAACGAGTGGAGGGCTGCGTCCGAGAGGGCAGACGATAAGAGGGCTATGTTAAAACAAGACTGATGAGCGGAGGGCTATGTAAAATAAGACGGACGAACACAGGGCTGCGTCTAAAAGGGCAGACGAGCAGAGGGCTGCGTCGAAATTAGACGGACGGTGGAAGGGATTCGTCGAAATAAGACGGACGAGCGGAGGGCAAGGTGTAATAAGACGGTCGAGCCGAGAGCAAGGTGTAATAAGACGGACGAGCGGAGGGCTGGGTGAAATAAGACGGACGGTGAAAGGGAGACATCGGAATAAGACGGATGAGCGGAGGGCTGCGTCGAAAGTAGACGGTCGGTGAAAGGGAGACATCGGAATAAGACGGACGAGCGGAGGGCTACGTCGAAATTAGACGGACGGTGAAAGGGAGACATCGAAATAAGACGGACGGGCAGAGGGCAGCGTCATGAAAGGCAGCCGAGCAGAGGGCTACGTCATAAAGGGTAGACGAGTTGGGGGCTGGGTGGAATAGGGCTGACGAGCGGAAGTCAAGGTGAAATGAGACGGACGAGCTGGGCGCTACGTCGAAATGTAACGGACGAGCGGAGGGCTATGTCGGAAAGGGCAAACGAGTTGTGGGCTTGATGAAATAGGGCAGACGAGCGGAGGGCAGAGTAAAAGGAGACGGCCGGGTCGGGGGGCCGTGTGAAACAAGGCGAACGCACGATGGGCTGCTTCTAAAAGGGCTTGCGAGCCGTGGGCTACGTCGAAATTAGACGGACGGCGAGGGGGAGACGTCGAAATAAGAAGGACGGGCAGAAGGCTGAGTGAAATAGGCCACATGAGTGGAGGGCTGTGTAAAATAAGACGGACGAGGGAGGGCTGCGTCCAAAAGGGTAGACGATCGGAGGGCTATGTTAAAACAGGACAGACGAGCGGAGGGCTGCGTCTAATAGGGCAGACGAGCAGAGGGCTGCGTCGAAATTAGACGGACGGTGAAAGGGAGACATCGAAATAAGACGGACGGGCAGAGGGCAGCGTCATGAATGGCAGATGAGCAGAGGGCTACGACGAAAAATGCATGCGAGCGGAGGACAGTGTGAAATAGGGCGGATGAGCGGACGACAACGTTAAACAGGACGGACGAGCAGACGGCTGTGTGCAATAGGACGGACGAGCGGAGGGCTGTGTGAAATAGGGCAGAGAAGCGGTGGGCTGCATCCTGAAGCCTAGTGTGGCTTCAGAGGAAATGCAGGCGAAGTCGGAGTTTTGTAACAAGCTTAAGACTAGCGCAGACTGCCCTTGCAATAGATTTGGACGGAATTCAGGCTCGGAAAAAAGGGCTATGCATAGTGAGTAATAAGTAAAAACAAATGAGCACCTACTCGGGGTACATGCGATTTTTGTGTTAATTGTTTGTGGAAAAAATTACAAATAAAAATAATTGCGGAAGAAGAAAGTTTTTATATTAATGTCACGTGTACTGCGTACCCATCCATACTAGCCACCATAAAAATTCGTCGGAAAATGATCGGCGCGTATTTATTTATTTGTAAGCAGAAGATTTAAACCCATGTAAACAACGATGCTTAAAGACGTAACTCGGTTTTAGAAAATTAGTACCCGGCATAACAGCATAAACTCGGCAAGCTTTTCAATTTGAATAAAGGATACGGGCGAACTCATGAAACTAAATTCGCCATCGTATTCTTCGTAAGAAAACTACGTTAAAGTCATGTACGTATGAGTTGAAAAAAACGTTTCATGGATTGTCTTGGAATTTGGAGGAAAACTTTCGCCTGTGGATCGATCGACGTATGGAATTTGCTTTGTTGATATTCTTAAACTTTCAAATAATTTTTTTAACAATGTGATACGTGTTTTTCAAGTATTATTTATCGCAGAACGCTATGGTATAATTTGTTGCAAAACTGAACTGCAAATTGCTAGAAACGATAATTCGAATTTGTCAGAAAATTTTTTTGATTTATTAAAGGTTTTTTAGTTCTAGTTCTATTCTACACCGCCGCCGGAGCAGCAGCGGCGAGCGTAGAATCAGTGCTCACCTTCTCGCTTACCTCCGCGATCGTGTCCGCGTTAATGCCCAAAACCCAGGCGTAACGCAAGGTCATATTTTTTAAAAATTATTAGCGACTTTGCCCTTCTTGAGTCGTTGGTGAGTGTCCCATCATCAAAAGCACCATCGTATTCTACATTAAAAAATACATGGAAATCATCTATCATAAGTTATGAAAATAGTGTTTGATGTTCATGAAATTCAGAATAAGCGCATACCTATCACTTACCAACAGCTGAATAAGGACAAAACCGGTGAATAGTTTTTAAAAAATAGGACTTTTTTCATTTAAAAAAGGAAAAAATGTAGTTTTCTGCCCCTATAAATGCTAAGCACTAAGGCGAAAAAAGTCCGGAAGCTCTAGCATTGAACATTTTTTTTCAATTCCATTATTTAAAGAAGTGCATTTTTGACAATTTTGAGTGTCTTGGGTGCGTGCTTTTTGCAATTCGTTCCGCGGGAGTGTTTGGGTGCGAGCTTTTTGCAATTCGTAAATTGTTACCGATCCTCTTCGACCAGTGAGGGTCCAGCCGATTGCTTCTTTGCCTTCTTTGTTCCCACAGTTCTGTTAAGACATGCACGAATATAATTTTGTATCTGGAGTACATCATCTGGTGTGACGACGCCATGAGAATTTTGAAAGGAGAGGAGTGCATCTATATTTTTTCCTT